CTGTTTAAAAAGTTTGAGGACCCCTGATCTAGGGAAAGGGATGCAAAAGGGAAGCGGGGGTCTGCAGGCAGAGTTCTGGAGCGCTTCTGGCCTCCTGCTCCCCTCATCCCCCCCCCCCCCCCGCCCCTTGCAGGAAGGGCTCCTCTGGTCCCTTTCCCGTTGCCTGGCCTTGCATGGGCTGGGCCCGGAGCCCACCTGGGGCAGCCAGCTCCTGGCCTTTGGTTGGTTCAGACATATCTGGGTTCCCATGCTGGCCCCCCACTGGTTATCTGGGCGACCCTGGGCGTTCCTGACCTTTCTGTCGCGGTACATTTCAAATGAGTAAACTCACCAGTTGGTTTAGGATGAAACGAGGTACCACGTGAGGAGCTCCTGCAGGGAAGGTGCTGCATCAGCGACGGGGGTTGGGAGCCGCCGCCCTCCTCCCCTTCCCCCGCAGGCACCGTGCCTCTCCCGCTCCTCCCGCCCTCCCCGCCTTCCTCACCCACGCGTGCCCTCTTCATTAGCTGGTGCTGATGTTTTACTCTGTATCTGTTGGTGTTGCTTGCTTTCTCTTTAAAGCCCGCACATGTGATGCCTTACTAACCATGTGCCACAGGGTAACACGTGGCCCCAGCCCTACGGCTGGGCGCTGGCCGGGCACCTGCCAGCACCGGGTGCGGAGGCGGGGAGCGGGCCCAGGTGGCGAGGCCGGCACGGAAGACTGGCTCTCCTGGGAGAGAGGCTGAGTGTCCTGGGTGCTCTGCTGCCCGCACACTCCGGGCGCGGCTCTGGGGGTGGTGCCGGAAAGAGAAGTGCTTCTCCAAATGCCCCCTCTTCACTCCTGTGGCTCTTCTGCCCTGGCCACTGCCCCTGGGGACGGACAACCATGAGAACAGCCTCCGTCCCTGAGTGAGGCTTCTGTCCTGGTCCGTCGTCCCTTTCTTCTCTGGGGCTCCGTCCAGGGGCGGCCCACGGTGAGGTTCTCTCAGTGCCGCCCTGCTCCTCTCTCCGCCCTGCTCCTCCCTCCGCCCTGTTCCTCTCTCCCAGACAGCGGACAGCCAGCCGCTCCCAAGAGCCAAGCCGCCTCAGGCTGACTCAGCTCCTTCCTGCCACTGACTGGGATTGGGGTGGGGAGTAGGAATTTTATTACAAAGACAAAAGGGCAATAACTTTAAGGAAATATTGGGGGACCTACTGTCCCTCTAGCCAAACACCTCACTGTATTTTATTTTTTTAATCCTCACCCGAGGATAGGTATATTGATTTGAGAGAGAGAGAGAGAGAGAGAGAGAGAGAGGCATTGATTGGTTGCCTCCCACTCGCACCCCAACCAGAATCAAACCCCTGCAACCTGGGTATGTGCCCTGACTGGGAATCGAACCCACAACCTTTTTGCTGTATGGACGACGCTCCAACCAACTGAACCACCTGGCTGGGGTCCCTCACAGCTTTTTGCAACAAGAGGAAATAAGTACAAACGGATAACAGAATCCCACCTGCAAAGCAGTGTGACTCCCATCCTCGTCTGTGTGCCGACACCTTTCACATGGTCACGACCGGGTGGAAACTGTTTCCGTCTGCTGTGCGGATCGCGTCCACCTGCCTCCACAGCTTTTACTGCTTTCCTCTGAAATGTCTGTGTGCTTCTCCGGGGTCTGGTCACGTGCTACACACCTTCCCTGATGTTGGACTAAGGCTGTTTCCAGTGCTACATGTGCACGATGTGAGCACACGGCCACAGTGTTAAGGGTTTGTGGCAGCTCCATAGAGCTAACGCTTCCCTATAGGCCGCTCACTGTAGTCAAAGCTTGGCTTTACTGGGGCCTCAGAATTACCGGATACCATTTGTCTCCATTATCTATTGTTGCCTAACGACTCCCAACTTTGGTGGCTTAAACTACAGCTCTTTTATTATTACTTTCATGATCCGGGGCTCAGCCATGTCACACAGGGCTCTCTGTCCCTCATGGGGCTGGTCAGGGGGCGCCTGAGGCTGGAACACGAGAGCGGCACTCACGTGGCTGCAAGGCGGGGCTCGGCCGGGATGGCTGGGCCTCTCTCCGTGTGGCCACTGCAACAGGGGAACTAGACTTCTTTCATGGGGTTCAAGGGCTCCCCAAGGGGCAAAAGCTACCAAGGCTGGGCATGGTGTCTCTTCCACTGCATGCGGGCGAGTAGAGCACGTCCCAGGCCGGGTTCAGTATGGGAAGGGGATCGGGTGGGGCTCCCTGGGGCCGTCTTGGGAGACCAGCTATGGCACAGTCGTCATTCTCACCTTGGTGGAGAGAAGCAGGGGCTCAGAGAGCCGAGGCAACTCGCCCCCAGAGCTCCCGCCCACAACCACGCTGCCTCCTGGGCGTGAGACGCCACAGCGGGTGGAATTCTAGGAGCAGGGACCTGAGAATCTTTGCTATTGGCCTTACTGACCATTGTCAGCGTGGTTTTCAAAAAGGGATGGATTTCTTCACACGCCTGACAGCCTAGGGCGCCAGGACTCCCCGGCTCTCCGGATGAGCTGCCGGTACCACAGACGATTTCCGCCCGGAGTCGGCCCCCTCAGCAGCCACCTCCCTCTCCGCCCCGGCAGGAAGGACCTATTTCACAGTAGGAACGGGGCCCGCCAAAGTGCCAAGAAGATCCTCATTGTTATCACGGACGGACAGAAGTACAAAGACCCCCTCGAGTACAGGGACGTCATCCCCCAGGCCGAGAGAGCCGGCATCGTCCGCTATGCCATTGGGGTGCGTGCTCCTCTTCTGGACCGCCCCAGGCTCGGCCTGCACCTGCCCCCTGTCCCCTGCCCCCTGCCCCTTCCTCCCCCCGCCCCTCCCCACAGCAGCAGGCGGGCGCTCCTCCTCAGCCGCCTTTCGGTGCAGGTGGGAGGCGCTTTCCAGGAACGGGCCGCCAGGCAGGAGCTGGACACCATCGGCTCCGCGCCCGCGCAGGAACACGTGTTCAAGGTGAACAACTTTGCGGCGCTCGGCAGCATCCAGAAGCAGCTGCAGGAGAAGATCTTTGCGGTGGAGGGTAAATGGGGAAAGAGCTGGGGTCTCAGCACCGAAGGTGCCCCCACCCACTTGTCCCCTGCGGGTCTGAGGTCCATCCCTGGTCACAGCTCACCCAAAACTGAACCCAAGCCCCAGACCACACCCTCCTTCCTCTGCTCCAAGCCCTTGCGGTCTCCTGGCCTCCGGGAGCCTCAGCGACCTGTTCCCACAGGAACCCAGTCGAGGACAAGTAGCGCTTTCCAGTATGAGATGTCACAAGAAGGCTTCAGTTCCGCACTCACAAAGGTGGGTGGAGCGCGGGTATGGCAAGCGGGTCTCGGGCACCACCCTGGGCCAGCCCTCGGTTGGCAACTGGGACCCAGAAGTAAACAAGAAAGCAGACCCTGTCCTCCAGCTCAGCATCTGTTCAGGGCGTGTGTGGGCGCTGGGGACCCGGCAGAGAACAGATTAGCCGAAGCTCCTTCTCTCTTGGAGGAGGTGACAACCGAGAAACAACACCTTTCAGACTGTGGGAGTCGGGAGAGAGCAAGGGAGGTGCTCAGAGGAGACCCGGGGAGTGGGAACTGAAGCTGGACGATGAGAAAGGGCCAACCCTGGAAACACGTGGGGAGAGATGGCTCCAGGTAGAGGGGAAAGCACGTGCAAAGGGCCTGAGGCAGGAGCAAGGTCACTGCAATAGGGAGCTGGAAGGGCAGCAGAGCCGGGCAGAGTGCACGCAGGGCAGCGCGGAAGGAGATGGCCCTGGCGGTGGGAAGGGCCAGACCACGCAGACCAGACATGACAACATCGCACGCCTTGTCCAAAGGTCGGTGTGTGGTCCATATGTCCGGAGGGACTTGCTTCCAGACAATTTGTGGAGAGAGTGAGGCGGACATAGAAATGGAATGAGGTTGGCCATGACTTGGTCCCTAAGCTGAGCCATGGGTACTATGGGCTCGTTATACGCTTCTCTCTACTTTTGTAAATGTTCTCAATTATCCACAATCAAAAGTTTACCAGCAAATGGTCTGTGTGGAGCAGGGAATGCCCATGGCTTCCCGAGGGAGGAGCAACCCCCAGAGGAGGGAGGAGGCTGCTGCTTCCAGAGGGAGGCGCTGAGTCCCAGCAGGAGGGAGAGAGGTGTCCGCAAGGCTTGGTGTGTTTGGGAACAGAGGGGGCTCCACAGGTTTGACTGGGGTGGATCCTAGATGCCACCCTCAGGGGCTTGGTGACGGGTGCCATCTTGGTTCCCCGGGAGGGTGGCGGCTGCACACTGGGGTTTGAGGGGACCTAACTCTGGGGCAGTGAGAGGCGATGGGGCTGACCGGGCAGGGGCCCCGGATGGGGAAGAGGAATTCCAAATAGTGAGTGAAGCCGCCTTGGAGTTGCTGTCTCTCCTGCTCCCCAGCTCAGCCCCAGACCTTCCTTCCCAGGACGGACCAGTTCTGGGCGCTGTGGGGAGCTTCAGCTGGTCTGGAGGTGCCTTCCTGTACCCCCCAAATAAGAAACCTCCCACCTTCATCAACATGTCTCAGGAGAATGTGGACATGGCGGACTCCTACCTGGGTGAGAAGAGGCTCTGGCTGTGCGGACAGGCGGGAGATGAGCTGCCTGGGGGACAGGGGACGGGGTGGGGGACG